CTAGCTTAGCATACTGGTTTGATTGTATTTAATTATTGAAGAAAATTTTTTATCATGCATAATTGTGTAATCTATATGATTTTTAATTGACTTTTCAATAAGAATCGGTTTTAGAGTTTTAATTCAATTACAAATATTTTTCTATCTTGTGTTAGATATTTTAATCTTATGATTGAACACAACTCATTCACTTCTTGTAGTTGTGAATGAGATGATTACACAATTGTTCTTATCTGAATATAATGTTAGAGATTTGATGGATTATGCCTAGAAAAGATAGACCATACTACACCCTAAAGTAAAGTAGATAGGTAGATGGTTTATGCCAATCGAAGATAGTCTATGCTTAGTTTTAAATTATATTATTTTCTAGCTGAATTAATATGTGTTTGTAGCCATGATTAATTCTCTGTGCATGTTATATGATATATCTCCAATAAATTGATGCAATTAACTGGTGGTGCGACGTTAGTGGTGAAATCATACCCTTAGTCCTCTCTCTCTATTTTCTACATCCTATTTAATCATTGTTCTTTAGTTTATTTTTATTTTTGATTTAGTTAATTTAGAATTCAACATCACAATTCGATTATCCTACTTTCAAGTTAATTTGGAATTTAAGAAGACAAACTTATTTTACATAAGTCCCTTGAGTAGGACACCCTTACAAGTAAACCCTATTTGTAAATATTCGTACACTTGCGAGTGGTACATATAAATCTCACAACATCACTATATGTAGGGATTGAGGTTGAGGGCCTGAATGCCTGATTGTGGATGAAGCTTACCTCAGAGGAAGGAAATTACAAGGAACAACCTTTTCCCTTCCCCAAGGCTATTCACTAAGCCAAGGCAAGAAAGTCAAAAAGGGTGTGGAAATTATGAAATTTCAATTTCATTTCTTCAATGACCATTGATATGGTTCTCATCATTTTCCTTTCTAACCTCTGAAACTTAACAGGAATTGATTGATCAATGATCATTGAGCCTCTCAAATCACATATTTGAAATGGATATAGAGAATTGGTTATGGCTATCTTGTCTCATCACACTTGCTGCAATTCTCCTACCCTTTCTTGTTTTTATCAAGAAGAAGATCAACAACACGCCATTAGAACCTTTGAACACTTCTTCATTGTCCACCTCTCCACCTGAAGGAGAATTGTATAATCTATATTTTAGATTCAACTCTTTAGATTCTCAGAGAAGATACTATTTCAACGTTATTGAGAATTTCACCTTCCAAATTGTACCAATGCCAGGTGTGTAACTCTTCAAGTTTCAGTACCAATAGGTAACTTCATTATGAAAGAATGATCAATCTCAAGAACTCTCAAACTTTTTAGGTTGCCAATGGTATCAGGTAAAACTGTAAATCTTGCTGCAAATAAGCACAGCTCAATTAATGATTCCAATTTCCCAATGGAGTCTGGAAGTTCTTCTAATTGGGATTAATATTTTAGTGACAATTGAGTTTGGCTATTCAGTAGTACTTGTAAAATCAAATACAAGGTCTGAAAGGGATTTTAGATGGCTGATTGAGGTACAAATTTGGGTCAATGACCCACAAGAAGTGGCACTTACAGTTTTAAGCCTTTTTCTTTTTTTTTTTTTCTTTTTTTTTTTTTTTAAATTTGTACTCATACACACATATCTCTATTGAGACTTAAACTCTTAACCTCCCTTTAAGAAATAAGAGTTTGATATTGGCCCGTTGGTGAGTTTCAAGCTTCTTCATAACACCTCTACTAATAATGACTACTTATAAAGAAATTCCATCGATGAGGAGTTATGTTAAAGCTTCCCTGGAATCAAATTCCAGAGGTGTTGGGTTATTTCATCCACAAGTGAAAACAAAAATTAGTCGTTGGTGCGAGTAGCAGTGTTCAGAAGCTAATACAATTTCGTATTGCCCAGGTGTCAATATTGGGATTGGTTTTGTTTTGGGGGTTACGATGTGTGGAACGCAATACAAGGGAACAAATTTGTATTGGATGTTCCGCAAGACAGTAAGTAATTTTGGGTGGTCATAGCCCATTTGAAGGAGCCTTAGATTGGATAGGTCTGCAAATTCTTCATTTGTAAGACCACATGCTCGTGACTCTAATCCAAAGGCAACAAAGGGAGCTTCAACTTTTCTTGTTCCCTCATAAAATAATACTATTAATAATGATTTTTCACTCTCTCTGAGGAAATTTCTGTTATTATTTCAACTTTAGAGTAGTTCATACATAATTGAGTTGATTAGAAAATTAATGCTTAAATAGGGACATCCGTTCACGAGGTAGTTGGATGTTACTGTATGAGTCTACAATATGTTGAAGGCTTTCCATATGCGACCAAACCCCTTTCATTTAATCACCATAATTTCCTAATAATTCCCTCTAGGCAACATAATATATATACATATGATTTATTTAATATTTTTATATTGATTTATTTAATCTAATACACCCTCTCTCCCACAATATATATATATATATATATATATATATATATATATATATATATATTTTATTATAGTGGTAGGGAATGAATTTTTAAATATACCTTACAACTTCAACATAAGGAGGGCAAATTAAAAATATTAAAAAGAAAACATTAGATTTTAAATTGAAACAATTATTTTGGGACAATCACAAATGAAATGAACATAAGACGAGGATGGTAAATTAAGAGTATTTAAAAAAAAAAATACATTAGATTTTGAATTTAAACAATTATTTTGGGACATATACAAATGAAATGGGGACATTTTTGTGCTACAAAGTGAAAAATATTTTTTCCTAAAAAATTATTCTAATAATATTTGGCAATACACTCTAATATTATATAGTATATAAACTATTACTTATAACCAAAGTCTTATGGCCAATAGTATTTCTTTGTTATAAGTAGAACTTATCCCACATTGGATAAGGATTGAAGTGTGTAGAAATAGGTAGGTATGCAATACTATCTAACAACTTGAATTTTTGATTAAATTAATAAGCACCCACCTATTACAGTTGGTTTAAGAAGCAGAACCAGATCCAATCTTTGATCCGGTTCATGCCAAGCTCTCCAGGGTGGCCCAAGTTGCAATGACGGCCCAACATCTTAAATTATCAACCCACCCCTTACACTCCAAAGGCACTTGCTGAAGAAAAAGACTAATGTACACTATTTGTTTCCACTTAATACCCATATATTATTACTTTAATATGCCCTTATCATCCATTCATCTCTGATATGAAGCTAAAATTGATCGGAGGGCTTTGGCAAATTGGAGAAGTAACCAGGTATTCAATCTCACTAAATGTTATTTCCTTGTAGAACAAATATATATATATATATATATATATATATATATATATATATATGTATATGTACACATATGTCTTTTGGTACTTTAGTTGCCCATTAACAAATTCGACGAGTACATCCGAACCCATTCTCGAGGGTTCAAATACTAGAGGAACATGGAGAATCGACTGAGAGGAATTAAGCTAATGAACAGTAGTATAGAAATCAAAATTTCTTGATTTTTATTTGTTGTGTGTGTGTGTGTGTGTGTGTGTGTGTGTGTGTGTGTGTGTATAATATACTATTACAATGCACACAAATGGAGGACAAGGGTTGAGGATGAATTAAGCTAATGGGCAGTAGTTACGAAATCAAATTTCTTGATTTTGATTTGTTACAGTATATAAAAGGGGGACTAGGGTTGAGTGCATACAAAGAGATGGCAAGGGCAATTTTGTCTTTTTATTTATTTATTTATTTTGCTTATGCCATCATATGCACACAATGGTTTGTATTAAAGATGAGGGTAATTTGGTAATTTAATTAGTGCCTTTAACCAACTAACGGGTCTTACATCTAAAATAGTTTACCAGAGATGCATGATAATTTACCATAATAAGTCGAACCTTGCTTTGACGCCTAGTTGTGGCAAGTCGCGCGAGATGACATGACAGTATGACACCCATTGTTTTAAACAAGTCCACCTTCAAAACAATAATTGATAAATATGCGCAACTGTTATTTATCATCAGCCACTGGCAATAGAAGATTTGGAATCAGTAATTGATTGTTTGGGAGAAATTTTTATATGGTCTAAGATTAAATGGTCCGGCCAATCATAATATGATATGTAAGCAAATGTAGATTTCATTCATATTTTTGTTTACATGTCAGGTCGTGATAGACTAGTACGAAATATTTTTGAATCATGTAATAATTTTTAGAAGATAGAAATAAACTGATGAGAGGGTGCAAGAAGGAACTGTTATTTATCATCCCAATTTAGAGTGCACTTCTCATTTGGTACATTGTCAAATTATAAGCAAGCAATCTCTCTCTCTCTCTCTCCTTTGTAAATGAGCCATATTAATATTTTAGAGTCAAAAGAGTTCCACTTATATATTTTAGATTAGCACCAAGCTAATTTTGCTAATTTATATAACTTTGTTCAACAAAAAAATCTGTCACAAGATTCTTTTTAATAAACAGGATCACTACGAACAAATCAACTTAATCAAGTACTTTAATAACTTATACAAGTAGTAGTTATAGAACCTTCCAAAAAAAAAAAAAAAAAGTTGCTATAGAACTTCAAATTTTAAACTCAAAACATTCTAAATATAACCATAACTTATAAATAATATACATTTAAATTTTATTTATCAGTTTACATGTATATGAGCATCTATCTAACCCCTAAAGAAAGCACAGCACATGTTAGTGGGTCCTATCATTAACTTTGATACTAGCACACTTAAGTGCTTTCTACCCTTAAAGAAAGCGGATGGCCTGCACTGATAAACTGAACAGTTTCAAAGCACCAAACTTTAATGGATGGACATGATCCTTTGCTTTTGCCTTTAATTTGGTGTTGGTGTGGAAATTAAGAAATTGAAGAATTCATTTCTTCAATGCCCACTGAATTTAGCTTCTCATCATTTTCATTTCTACCCAACTTAACAGGAACTCATCACTGAGCCTCTCACACATTCGAAATGGATACAAAGAACTGTTTATGGCTATCTTGTCTCGTCACACTTGCTGCAATCCTCCTCAGCTTTGTTGTGTTCATTAAGAAGAAGACCAGGAACACTTCATTAGCATCTTTGAATAATTCTTCATTGTCCATCTCTCCACCTGTAGGATGGAACTATGAAGTGTTCTTGAGTTTTAGAGGCCAAGACACTCGTAAAACCTTCACTGACTACCTCTACAACGACCTTGTTGACGCAGAAATTCGCACGTTTAGAGACAACAATGAGCTTCGCATTGGAAAGAAGATAGGTGATGAGCTTCTCAAGGCAATACAACACTCAAAGATATCCATCCCAATCTTTTCCAAAGACTATGCTTCAAGTAAGTGGTGCTTGCTTGAGGTCACCAAGATGGTTGAGTGTAAGAGGACATCAGGGCAAATCATAAAACCCATTTTCTACAACGTGGAACCGTCCGACATGCGAAAGCAGAAGGGGAGTTACGAAAAGGCCTTCCGGGAACACAAGAAGCATTTTGATAGTGCTACTGTGGAGGGGTGGAAGAAAGCCTTGAGGGAGGTTGGGGAATTGAAGGGATGGGAAGTGAAGAATGTTGCTGATGGGTAATTCTGCCTATTTACTTATATATACTGATTCTGAAATTTTAACTTTTGTCATTATTTTCCTTTAGTAAATTTTCCTAATTATTTGCACCAACTATGAACTTGTTTGGTTACGTTCTCTCAAATTAGACACTACTCTAACTTAATTTACAAACAACAGTTTTTACAAATTGCCAATCAAATGAATTTTGGAACTACATTCTATTTTTAAGTTTTCTGAGAATAGGCTATATTTATTTATTGTGTTTCCCATATATATGTGACATCAATTATGTTGCAGGCACCAAGGAGAACTGGTAAAGAGGGTTGTTTTAGAGGTGTGGGGAGAGCTGAAAAGAAACTCATTGGATGTAAATTAATGCTTAGTTGGAATTGATAATCATGTAGAAGAAATGATGAAATTGTTGAGTGTTAATTCCAGTGATGTAAGGATTGTGGGAGTCCATGGCATGGGAGGAATTGGCAAGACCACTATAGCCAAGGTCATCTACAACCAACTCTCCCAACACTTTGAATCCTGTTGCTTCCTTCCAGATGTAAGAGAAACAGCACAACAACACAATGTTCTTGTTCATTTGCAAAACCAACTTATATCTAACATCTTAAAACGGAGATGCGTTGACATTAGTACCGTGGATGAAGGTATTAATGTAATCAAAGTTAGATTTTCTGGGAAGAAAGTTCTTGTTGTCATTGATGATGCCGATCAAAAAGTTCATCTTCATTCACTTGTGGGAAATTGTGATTGGTTTGGTTCAGGAAGTAGGACAATTGTCACAACAAGAAACAAAGATATTCTAAATCTACCTGAGGTAGACTGTAGGACTTACGAACCAAAGGAATTGGATTCTAATCAATCTCTTCAACTTTTCAGCAAACATGCTTTTAGAATGAACCATGCTCTAGAAGACTATGATATTCTTTCTAGAGATGTTGTGTCCACTACTGGAGGGTTGCCTTTGGATCTTGAGATTGTTGGTTCTTTTTTATCTGGCAAGAGAAAAGCGGTGTGGAATGAGACATTGAAGAAGTTGAAGAAAATACCGGATGGACAAGTGCAAAAGAAGATGAGAATAAGTTACGAAGCATTAGAATATGAACAACAACAGATATTTCTCGATATATCATGTTTTTTAATTTGAGTGGATAAATGAATTGCTTTCCACAGGTGGGATGACTGCAAATTTTATCCGGAAAATGGGATTGAAGTTCTTATTCTCACGTCCTTGGTGAAAATTGGAGATGACAATGAGCTAAGGCTGCATGATCAGCTTATAGACCTCGGTAGGGATATTGTCCGTCAAGAAAATTTTAAGGAGCCGGAGGAGCGTAGTAGGGTGTGGTTTCATGAGGAAGCCTATGAAATATTGGAGAGTCATTCGGTAAAATCCAACTCCTTCACAAATAGTGTCCCTTATTAAGCATTAATTTTCTTCTTTCCTTACTAACACAATTATGGATGAACTACAAGTAGCACCGGCTCAATCACTAGGCCAATTAGGTGGTTGCCTTATGTGAGTCGCCTTGCAAAAGTTGAAATAATAATTGGAATTCCCTGAAAGAGAGTGACTATAATCAATAATCATTAATACTAGTTTTTCCGTCCACCATAATTATAGCCTTAATATATATATATATATATTTTCTTATCCCAAGGTTCTCTTTTGGCAGGGAACATGTTGACTTTCGATCAGAGTCACAAGCATGCTGTTTTACAAATGAAGAATTTGGAGGCTTATCTAATCTAAGGTTCTTGCAAATGGACTATGCAAACCTGGATGGAGATTGTAAGCGTCTTCTTTCAAAGTTATGATGGCTTAGCTGGAATGGATGCCCTCAAATTTTTAAACCAACCAATTTTCATCTGAAGAATCTGGTCATACTTGATTTATCATGGAGCAAGGTCACAGAACCCTGGGGGGGTTGGAATCATATCAAGGTTTCACCAATTTCTTTGCTTTTGTTTCATGTTTCTCATCACATAATTCTTTGTAATTGATTCTAAGCTATTATCTTTTTCCTTATTTCTCAGATTGCAAGAAAGTTGAAAGTTTTAAATCTCACGGGTTGCAGAGACATGGTTAGTACTCCTGACTTCTCTGCATATGCAACTTTAGAAAGATTGATTCTTGAAGAGTGTGAGAACTTGGTTCATATTGACCCATCGATTGGGTATCTCAAGAGTCTAGTTTTCTTCAATGTGAAGAATTGTTCTAAACTCAAAAGGTTGCCTCTGGAATTTGATTCTTTGAAAGCTTTAGTGGAGCTCCTCATCGATGGTACTTCTTTAAGAGAAGTCCCTAATGGTATAGGTGTTATGAATAAGCTTGAAACTCTTAGTGCCAGTTGTTGGTCATTGGCTCAAATTTCTACCTCAATCGGTCACCTAAAATCTCTATCAGACCTTACATTAGATTATTCATGTATCAATGAACTACCAGACTCAATTGGTTCACTAGTGAAATTGCGACGCTTTTCACTAAGGCGCTGCAAATTAAAAGAACTTCCAGACTCCATTGGGAAATTAGAATCATTAATTGAGCTGCGCTTGTCAGGAGCAAAATTTACAGAATTACCTGATACCATTGGCAACCTAAATCATTTGAGAATTCTTGAGATTAACGAATCTTTGATCAAGAGGTTACCTAGTGCCATCGGAATGTTATTGAAACTTGAAGAGTTAGATGCCTCGCATTGTCACAATTTGGAAGGTGAAATTCCCAATGATATTGGGAGACTACCCTCTCTGAGAATCTTAAGACTAAATTTTACAAATATCTGTAGCCTACCAACAAGCATTTGTGGGCTTTCTCACCTCCAAACCCTTGATTTACATGGTTGCAAAATGCTTCAGTTTCTGCCAGAGCTTCCCTCTAGTCAATGGAGACATTTCTAAACCTTCCTAGACTGATGAATCTAAAGGAGTTGCAACTTTATGACTGCTCTAGGCTGTTGAAAATTCCTGAAGATATTGGGAAGTTAGTGAAACTGGAGACCTTGATCTTGTACAAGATTAACATTAGCAGCCTGCCAATGGAGCTTGGTGCCCTTTCTCGGCTTACGGAACTCACTGTTCAAAATTGTGAACAACTTCAATGCCTTCCAACTCTTCCCTCAAGTCTGTTCAAACTGTGTCTTAATGTTTGCAAGTCAATGAAGAGGTTTCCAGATCTGTCAAATTTGAAAGATTTATCAGAACTAATACTTGGCCAATGCTTAGAGTAAACGGAGATTCAAGGCCTTGGAAGATTGGAACTCCTAATAAGTTTGGATATATCTAAGTGCATAAAGTTATGTATGCTTGAAGGGCTTGAACAGCTAAGATCTTTAAGATACTTGACCACATCATGGTGTGAATCACTAGAAACTTTGCCAGATCTTTCGAACTTAAAGAAGTTAAGGAATTTAGTTACTTTGCATTGCAAGAATCTGAATGAAATTAAGGGCCTTGAAAAATTGGAATCCTTGGAATATTTGAATATGAGTTGGTGCATATCCTTGGAAAGATTGCCTGATCTATCGAACTTGGAAATGCTGAAAGATTTAAACCTCACCCAGTGCCAGAAGCTACATGAGATAGAGGGTCTTGAGGCTTTGAAATCCTTGAAGATGCTGGACTTGTCATTATGCATGGCCTTGGAGAGGTTACCTGATCTGTCGAGACTGAAAAATTTAAAGAGATTGCAACTTTGTAACTGTGAGAAACTTAGTGAGATTTTGGGACTTGAGGAACTGAAATTCTTAGCATTCTTGGACATTTCTGGATGCAAATCACTAGGAAAATTACCAGACATTTCGAACATCAGTAAAGTCAAGTGTTGAGAGCAAAATTGCAGGGTGTCAGAGTTTAGTGTTTAACATGCAATCTGATGGCATGGTAATTATCTACTACTTCTAATCTATGTTGTCTTTGTATGATGGTTTTTTTTCCTTAACTGAATGTTAATTGTGATTTCTTTCTCTTTTCCTTTTACAGGTAATTGATGAAACATCAATGCATATCAGTTATCAATTATCATTTCAGAACTATATTGAACACTAGTATTTAGGTTGTTTCGGTGTTTATCCCTATACTATATGGTTGATTAGGAGCATGGTAGTCTCTGCTATGGATGTTAGAACAGTTTTGTTTCAGTACTTCCAGGGACCATTGTGAAAAGGCTGAAGTTAACAGCAATCATGCTCTGTTCTCATCACATGCACATTCTGGATTTTTTTTCATGTTTTCATCAAAATGGAATTTTATTAACTAGCTAAAAGAGTAAGACTCGAATATTCCTTACTATCCTATCTAAAGACATTTCATAGTCAATATTAGTAACCACATAGTTAACCTCACTGCAACAAAAATTTTTAACATTGACCAAGAATAATACAAAAGCCTTGAAATAAGATTAATTCTACAGGCCCAAATGTAAAGTGAAGAGTTTATATTATTCCACTGCAATTCACACTTCATAATGATTAAATTGCTGCTGAAACTCTTTTTGGCTACAAATATTTCCTAGCACCATGTCTTCTCAGGGTTAGCTGCATCCTCTCTACATATTGTGGTTCTTGTGTTATTTGAGAAGATTGAGTGGTTAGCTCTCCTTGCCTTTATTCAGGCTAAGTGGCAGAGCTCTCTATCTACATTAAATCCATTGAAACTTCAGATATTTTATTAATAATTTTCCTATCTTTTAAAGGTGAGACGACAAAACCACTACTCTTTTTTGTTTTTACACCTTCATATAGATGATTTGTTCTTTAAACCCTTTCCTAAAAAGTATTCTCTTTTTAGTAGGTTCTTCTATTACATTAACAGCATATCTTAGTATTACCGTATAAAGAAAGAAAAAAAGAAGAAGAAAAATAAACCATATGAAAATCTGAAAAAGGAAGTTTAGAATAGATGATTTCATAGGTCTTTCCCTATTAATTTCTCTATAAATTGTTATTTATGCTTAGAAGAGATTAAAGAGATCAAATTCTTTTCTGGAGGATGCTACTGCGTATTGAGACAGACAGAGAACAATTGAACAGAAATTGAAAGAGGGTGTTTTTTTATTTTTATTTTTTACTAATTTATAAATAGTAATATTGATATGTATTCTCCTCCCCCCTACCCAAAAACAAATTATTATTTTTTTGGATTTTCAACATAAGCCCTCTCTTTTAGAAATGTGGAGATCACTATGTCCTATAAAGGGTTGTCCAGTGAACGAAAGCTGCCTTTTACTATTTTCTGAAAAGAGTAAAGGGATGTATCAGTATCTTCCTTCATTCGGTAGGTCTTTTTCTTTCCAGCATGACTATGGGATGGGCAGTGATCTCAGGGTTACTAATCTAGTTTTCTGTTGGCGCCTCTGTTTTTGCTTGTTGAAAGAGTTGGGTGGGGTTCTATTTCAATCCAAGTTTAGCTGTTAGTTATGTTGATGATCATATCTTTCAGCTTTTGGATTGGCATGCGTCCTATTATACTTACTGCTGGTGCTGCTACATGGCTGGCTGTACATGCTTACAATGGCTAAGTGGAATCCCTATGATAAGAACAATTGCTACTGTATTAAGAATTGCTGATTTTTAGCGATGAATGTGACTACAGATCCTAACCAAGACCTGTGTCAAGGAGTTTGCAGTCCATTTCATTGCTTAAGATATTGGTTTCTTTTGCTTCTCTTTTACGGGTTTCTGCTTAGAGCTCCTAGACTTTTGTCTATCCATTGTATTCCTTGTTTGTGCTTGTTCTCTGTTTCAAGATTGGTTGTATGGAGAGTTATGCCTTTCGGTTATCTTTGTAATATTCGTTTGCTAACTATGACACCTTCAGATAAGTTGGAAAATCTTCTAATAGCTCAAGAGGGAAGGAAATTTGTTTACTCCTGTTCCAAATCCTTTTACGGATAGTTGTCATTTCTGCATTTCTATAATATTACTGTGACGATGAAGATACAGCTTCGATACTCACAGGTAGATAAGTAAGATTAGTTTGGTAAAAAATGAAAGAAAAGAAAATAGAAAACAAAGCAATTATCTAGTGATCCAATGTGATCTATGTTAATCTGAATAATGAAATAGAGATTAATTTACAAATCTTGTTATATGCACAAATAATTACACTCGGTCTTGAAAGTATAGTGTAACTATGAAAAATACAAATATATGCACAAATAATTTCAAGATTGGTGATCGTCAGTGAAGTCAAGTCCATGGATGGGGATGGAGGTTCGGAGATCGGATCAATCTCAGCCATCGCGGTGGATCAGAAGCTTCAAATATGATGGACCTTCCTCTATTTCTCACTACTTCAAGCCCAAACAAACTGCTAAATTCTTTCTTTTACCCCCATTTCTCTCTCTACTCCCTCCCCCCCTCTCTCTCTCTCTCTCTCTCTCTCTAAATACACACACACGCATATATATATATAACTCGTATTTTGTTGAACATATGGCTTAATTTGAGGCTTGCATTACCCATGATGTCATCAAGATTCTTGGCCTCCAAGAATGTGTGCCCAACAAGTCTTTTTAAGTCTTGGCCTCCAAGAATGTGTGTCCAACAAGTCTTTTGAGTGGTCACCAAGTAGCCTCATTTTGGTGTCCAATTTTGGCTATAAATAGCCTTTGCCCTCCATAATTTGAAGCATCCGAGAGGCATCCAAGAGTAAGACAATATTCGGATCAAGAGAGTATTTTGGTTGTGTGTGTGAGAAAATCCTTTTGTGTGAACAATCTTCAAGAGAGAGTTGAAGTTTGTATTTGGGTGGGTTTTTCTCTTTGTGTAAACCATATATTATTTAAGGTATTTCTTGAGTATTTGAGTGAGTCTTATTTGTTGGTGAGTGAGTAGTGTGAGAAGAAAGATTATTGTGAGGAAAAACCAAAACGTTCTTCAGTTTGTAATCTTCTTCTTTATAGTGATACGAATCATCATCGCCCGTGGACGTAACCCTATTTGTAAGGGTGAACCACGTATAAATCATTGTCTCGTTTGTGTGTGCCTATTTATTTTTTCTTGTCATTATTTTTCTCTTTTTCTCATAAACTCCTATTCGATCCTTATTTCATAACAAACTGGTATCAGAGCTTTTGAGGAGTTTTGAGATATCGACAAAATACGAGATTGAGAAATTTGATGGCAAGATTAGTTTCAGTCTTTGGCGCATTAAGATGCAGGCACTACTCACTCAGCAAGGTTTTGGCAAAGGAAGAATTAGAAAGAGGAGTTACGATCCTAGTTCTCAAAAGGGTTGTGTGGAGACTACACAACGTGGTGGAAGAATGAAATCCGTTTTCAGACGGCAACCGAAATTGCAGCAGTCCTTACAGGGAGGCAGACCCATGAGGACAGGTGTGATATTGACTTGCAATAATCTTGGTGGCAATGAGATAGTCCATTCAAGTGCCATTAAGATGCGCGGGAGACAAATAGTTGGTCACAATAGAGATGCGACGAAAAGTCAAGGACGTCCTATTCTCCACAAAGGTGGGAAGATGACTTTTCATTACCAGCCGGTGGTTTATAAGCTGTTGGAGAAGGTTGCTGAAGGAGATGTCAAACTTGGAATTTCTAAGGTTGCTTTTGGTAAGCATTTAGAGTTTGACACAAATACTGGAGGTATGCTTGTGACTGTGCAAGACATGCATGGGTTGAAAAATGAGAGCCCGAGGGTTAAGTTTGAGGATGACTCAAACTTAACTAAAATTCTTTATTAATTTGTTTTGTGTTGGAGATGATGATGGCGTTATTTTTATTACTCACATTGTATTGAAGAAAGACTCTTTATGATGTTGTCTTATCATTTCTGCTAAGGCGGAGAAATTTTGCCAAGGATGGAGTTTTATGGTTCATTCGAAATTTTTGCCAAGGTAGAGAATTTCGTCAAGGTGGAGATTTGTTGAACATATGGCTCAA